GAAATGATTTTATTTATGATAAAAATGATTTATAAATTTTACTTAATACACACCCGTTTCGAGCAACAAGGCAAAGTTTTCTGATCAATAACTTACTCCCTGAAAATACGGTATAACACAAATCGGAAGTTGATACGAAAATTCGAAATTTTACTAAAGAAAGATTGGAGGTTTTTAATTTATACAATTTTCACAACTCTTATTTCAATTATTTATTCTACCCATCGAAAGTTTTTTGAGAGCAGGCCGCCATGTTATTTTTCTGAGTCATTAACAAATTGGTACTCTGGAATTACGAGCAATTATTTTTCATTGTACGGGCTAGTATGAATTTCAAATCAAATCTCTATAAACGACTATTATATTTTGTGCACTAAGAATAACATATCGCACTTATTTTCTAGAATCAAATTGTAATCAGTTTTACTTATATGTATGTATATTCAATGTGAACTTGCACCTTGAATAAAATATCACAGTTACTTTTCATGGTAATATATTATTACTAAATTTAGATAATATACACTTTACGTATGTTCACTTTGAACTGGCACCTTGAATAACATATCAGTTACTTTTCGTGATAATTTATTATTAGATCGTTTAAATTTTTGAGTACCTTCTTTTGAACATGGCCTGACCTTTTCATTTTTATGATTTTTTAGGATATCACTTACTTTTTAAAGTACAGATATATAGAGCAGCTTTTTAGTAATTCAAGTATTATAAATATATGTATTTTCGATTCTTATCACATAACTTTGTATAAGTAACAATTTATGCAATACAGTTCAAAATAATTGAAATATATGGTATATTTGTACATATATAAAATATATAATTATATTATAGTATACATATATATTTTATTTAATCATATATGTAAATGTTTGTATAATTGTAATAACTTTTAACGATACATTGCACATTTATTTCAATTGCAACAGAATGAATTTATATTCTTGTATGAATATTGAAAATAAAGAATGGGCCCCTCCATCGCCCATTCTCGTGAGAACGCAACCATATATTTTTCTTCGTCTCTCCGATTTTAACACGACATATTTTCGATTCTTATCACATAACTTTGTATAAGTAACAATTTATGCAATACGGTTCAAAATAATTGAAATATATGGTATATATGTACATATATAAAATATATAATTATATTATAGTATACATATATATTTTATTTAATCATATATGTAAATGTTTGTATAATTGTAATAACTTTTAACGATACGTTGCACATTTATTTCAATTGCAACAGAATGAATTTATATTATTGTATGAATATTGAAAATAAAGAATGGGCCCCTCCATCGCCCATTCTCGTGAGAACGCAACCATATATTTTTCTTCGTCTCTCCGATTTTAACACGACATACATATTTCTGTCTGATAATTTTTTCTTCATGATACTTTTTGAAATGTCATGAAGCCTAGGTCAAATTAGAACCTTATTGCACTCGTTTTAATGCAGCGCTTACAGCAGCTTTTATAAAGCGCCAGAGCAGCCGATATTTTATTTTGGCGCTTACGGCAACTTTTATACAGCGCTAGAACAGTTGATGTTTTGATGTAGCGTTTACGGCAGCCTTTATACAGCGCCATTATTTAATCTGTTCTAAGAACAATATGTATGCCCCTTGTGCTCCTTTGGGCCATTTTTTCTTGAACACTTCCATATCATTAGAGTAATACCATTCCGATTTTGTGTCGGCTCTCAACATACACGTGTAGTGACCACGATTCATTTCTTCACCTTCGTGAAATATAGCGCTTATTACCTTGTACTTTTTTTTATTAATCGTGATATTACTCGTCGGCACGGCGTTAATCCGATTGTTGATAATTTTTTTGAAGCACCGTTTACAAAAGTATATAAATTGAGCTGTATTACTACGACGGATAAAGTTGATTCGATTACGGTTTTCCTTTTCAACACGGTACCCTTACATTCGTTACAATTGCCGTTTATCGTTTCCCATTTAGAAAATTCTACATTAATCAAACTTTGTAGAGTGACACCTTTTTTCCTTTTTAATGTCGAATGTATAGGTAATATTAACAAACTACTGCTTTCCAGCTTAGTTACATTGTAATTACATTTGACATTCGAGCAACATGTTACGTGCTTTAATTCGAGTTCTAATACATCATTGATGTCGGAATACGTCGACATTAGAGCCGTAAAAAATTCCGAAACATCTTGTTGTGTTCGTTCTTCGAAGCGTTTTCCGACAGATCTTCTAACCGCTTGAATGTTGCAATATTTACGTTCACCATACGCGCAGATAGCATCAGTCAATGCATTCGATGCTTTATTTTTCAGTATTTGTTGCCTAATACGTACGCAATGAAACGCGCATTGTAATATTACATTAGCGTAACACGAAACAGCATCGTTATTGCAAAGGCCATATATTTTCCACGTAACTATACTTTCTGGTTCCTCACAATCATAATTCTGCACATCATCAATGATATTAGGGATAGCCCATCGACGATCGTACATTTTCACAACCTTTTTCTCGGACGGATTGATTTGTGGCAGTTCAGATTTGAATATAGATCTCAGTCGATTATATTCTACAATGGCTCTCGAGTTTGCTTTAACTGATGCTGGATTGAAATTTATCAAATGTAGGCCTTCCAATTTACTTACTCGTGACAAACCTACATAGGCTTGACCATCACTGAATACAGTCGTTCCTAAATCCATCATTGCATTGTTACATGTAATTCCTTGACTTTTGTGTATAGTTATTCCATAACTGAGAGACAATGGAAATTGTTTCCGATGTACCACTAATTTGTGGAATACTTCAAATTTAATATCTACTTTCGTTATTGCGATTTCTTTGTTATCCGAAATAACTATTTTGATGGAATCAATACGATTGCCGTCAGCAGAACGATTAACTGCAACTACATTGCCTATCGTTCCATTGACAAGTCCCAAAGTTACGTCAATGTTTCGTCGAATCATCACTTTAGCGCCAATTTTAATCGCTATTACTCTTTCAATGCCAGCTGTTTCAGACACTTTATCATCTTTGTCTTCCAAAATTTTATGCACCTTTTTTTTCATTGCTGGAGCACAGTCGACATCATCTTCTGCTATCAGCAGAATTTCATCGCTGTCGATTTTATCGAGCATTGCTGTGTTCAAAACCTTGCACAAATAACACGTGGGCAATAAACAAATTGTATCAATCGGTAATTGATTCATATAATTGCAAAGTTCATTCAATCTTTTGTCGCAACTACTTTCTTTAAAATTGATTTTTCTAGACTGAAGAACATTGATGTCAGAATCCGTTACTAAACCTATTCGTATTCTAGAAAGTATATCACGATATGTATTGTCGCATCTTTGTCGCATATTAATCAAAAGTTCGTCGTACTCGAACAATCTCCACAAATCACATCCACCCATGGTACCTAAATACTTCTGAATCTCTGATCGAGACATTTTAACAAACGAAAATTGTCCTTTTACAGGAGGAAGCTGCAACAAGTCCCCAAACAGGAGAATGTGTTTTCTGCCAAAGAAACCATCATCTGTATCTGTCGTATCAAAGATTTCACATAATCGTAGATTGATAAACATAAGTGTCACATTTGAAATCATGGATACTTCATCGATTATAAATAATTCGACATTCTTTAATTTGTCTCTCAAAGTTTTCAAGACCATGTCTGACAATTGCGTATATTTTGGTGTAGATTCATGACTAACGGGTAGTTGAAACATTCTATGGATTGTCAAGCCATCGATATTGAATGCTGCGATACCCGTGGGAGCAGATATGGCAGTCGTTTTTTCCAAATTTATTCTGATCCAATGTTTAATCGTTTCAATTAGAAAACTTTTCCCTGTACCACCCTCGCCACTTACGTACAGTCGCAGAATCTGATTCTTATCTTGTAAAACTTCGCATACTCCATCAAAGACTCTTTTCTGGTCTTCGTTCAATTGCGACATCATTTGCGATAAATCAATCGGGTCGTCAATCTTACCAAAATCTTCCAGATCTTTCATCGCGTCGTCAGCTTCTATCGGATTACAATCCAGTTCATCGTCATCGGATTTGTCTCTGTCTGCTGTTTTCAGATCATTTTCGCGCTTCTCGATTAATTCAGCAACGTTCTCAAAAGCTTTCTGTATTTCTTCGAGCCTTTCGTGATATTTCATTGCCTTCGTTAAAACAGATATATATATATATATATATATATATATATGTATACAGGGTAATAATTCGAAAACAAATAAAAATAGCAAAAGATGCAATTAAAAAAAAAGAAATTATAAGAATTATAGACGATATACACATATATAAGAATTATAGACGATATACACATATAGAAATAAGGGGAATAATAAAAAGAATAAAAATATCGCGTAAAAGTGAAATATAATTATTAAAACAATAAGTTGTAAGAATAAGATAATCACAAAGAGAATATTTAACAGGGTATTTTACATCTTTAACACATTATTTTGCATGAACGTAAGTATCTCATAAAATATTAATTTTTCGTCGATCTTGTTTCAAAAATTTTGTATATAAAATATTGAGAAAAATCAAAATTTTTGAAAAAAACTATATAGTTTATAAATTTATATATCAATATAGTTAGAAGCAAAATCGTCTCCCAATTATCTCAAGAATCTTCCATTAACAGGTTTACTACTAATTCTGTGATATCCTGCATATATATTCTGCATATGTACAATATAAATTTAAATATTAATTAAAGAATATAGATATACGTATCAACACACGGACATAAGCGCGCGTGAGTGTGTGTGTGTGTGTGTGTGTGTGTGTGTGTGTTGTGTGTGTTCTCTGTACTATTATAAAATTAATATTTAATTATAATCCAAATATATAAAGAATTAATTATCTTATAACTTTACACATTAACTTCATCAACATATTCACAAATTTATTTATAATAAATATTTTGATACGTACAATATAAAATCATTACCTGATTAAAGCAGCGATTATTTCGTCGCACCGAAAATTGTCGAAAACATCGATGATATGAACACGCGGCCAAGAACAACACGTGTGAAACGCGTGGCATCGAGCATATTATTCTAAATACAAGCCGTACGATTACGCACCCCTGTCGCGCAGCCTGTGGTCTAATCAGTTTGTGGTCGTGAGAAGACTGACATCTCAGCAACTAACTTCGGTAAGTCCTATACATATAAGATTCTGTAAACTATCGTTCTAACATCATCATCGTCTATAATGAAATGTAGAATCAGTTAATTAGTAGTCAGCAATTAAGTTCGTTTATTATTAATTAATAATTTATTTCGCGAGAACGACTAGCATTAAGCGACGGAACATTGTCATTTTTATGAACTTTTCGGGATCTTTTCGTGAATTTTTGAGATATTCGCATCTTATTTATTGATTCCATGATTATAATTATGATTTTACATATAGTTTTGCAATAGATATATTTCGGACGTACTTTAATATTACTCTTGTCGTTCGCGCATAAAAACTTGTTTACGCGCATCGACTCGTTATATCAGGTGTTCGAAATATCCAGATCTTATTTCATTTTATTATAATTCCAGATATACTCAAACACCGAAATGGCAGATGTAAGTATATTATTTTTCATTATCATTATAAAATACTATTATTTTTTATTATAAAAAACTAATACTCTTTATACATTTCAGATACAGATGAATGAAGCCGACCACATCGCCGCCGAGCCCGTGGCCGCCGGCCCCGTCGCCGCCGGCCCCGTTGCCGCCGACTATCATAGAGGTTAGTTAAATTTTAATTTAATTAAATTGATATAAGCTAGATTAATCGAAGATCGTTTAATTAACAATTAATATGATCGAAGTCAATTAAAGATTATTTAATTGACAATTGATATAAACGAAATTAATCGGAGAACGATCGACTAACAATTAATACAAGCTAATTTAATTAAAAGTTTTTTAATTAACGATTAATATGAGTTAATTTTAATTAGAAGTTCTTTAATTGACGATTGAAAAAAACAGATTCAATCGAAGACAATTCAATTGACAATTGATTTGAGCAGAAACAATTAAAAAATATTTAATTGACGATTAAATATAGCAAATTTAATGCGAATCTCTTCCATTAATGATTGACTTAAGAAAATCGATATAATTTCTCTATTTCCATTAATTAACAATGTGTAACGATTAATACAATTTAAATTTTAATCGAAGATGTTTGATTGATGATATTAATATGACTGAATTTAAATAATATATATCTTTTCCTTGATTCTAGCAAAGTTATTGTACGTAATAGTTACAATGTAAATAATAAATAATTTACGTTTTTTAAACCATATTTTTATTCAGAACATTTTCAATTCATTATACATTTTATTATATTTAATTTAATTATATTTAATGTTAATATATATTTCTCAAATTTTTTTTCATTTGTTCTAAAATAATAAATGTATAATATGTTATAATAAAATGTGTTGTACATATATACAATATATATTATAATTCAAAATTATTAATCAAATGTAAATATTGCAGGAAGTTTGGTAATACAACGAAGTGTAACCATACAGTTTCCTTCTGGAGAACATTTCTGCATTCAACTAGGTAACCATTTCACAATGTTTTTACATATTACATTCAAATTGTGTTTATTTATTATAAATAAATTATTAGAGAAAAATATTGAAAAATATTGAATAACATAATTAGAATACGTTGTATATAAATATGTATATAAATGGTCTTGTTTTAAAATTGTATTATTATTTAAATGCTTAGAATGTATTATATATATTTTGTTATTATCTATTTATTTATATATTTATTTTTTTTTATATTGAAAAGATTCATTTTTCTTTTTCCTTTTTTTAAATTAATAAATTTTATTAAATATTTGTTTGCCAATTAAACAAAAATGTAATCGTACACCAGCAATTACTTTTCAAAATATTATTTTTCTTGTGTGTGAATAGTTTTATATATAATATCTGGAATGCAAATATATATTGTTAATAATAATAGTTTTGTTGCATATCTATTATTCATATAATTTGGAAATAATATAATTTAATAATTAAAAATTGCAAACAGTAATATATTTACATATTTATATTATTATATTATATCTGCATATATTCATATTGATGAGATAATTGCTTATTATATAAAATCATGTGCGTGATAATTAAATATTTTCTATGCAATCAAATTAATAAGGAATATAATGATTTAATATAATTATATTCTAAATCTGTTGGTGAAAACGTTACGTGTAACAAATATATACAATTAAAGTTATTATATTAAAATTTTATTATTTTTGTAAAATATCATTTACTTTGTAGAATACTTGAAAATATTACAATTCTATTTCTTAATAATAAATTAATTAAATTTAATAAAGGAAATAAAACATTTTATCGTGTTCTGATATTGGACTTATTAACCATAGCGTGTAATTAAATATTATAGGTCTACGCTTATTGTGATAAAGCTCTTTGATTGTTAATTGACGGAAATATAACCTAAGAGCTTTGGACATTCACATTCCACAGTAATCAAAGAGTTAGGATTATCAATTTTCTTTAAGGTAACGTATTGATAGTTTGTTCATTACTTGTCATAATGCAAATACAATTTGACTTTATCACTTTATAATTATTAAAAATCGTTTTAGAGTGAATCTTGTGTAACAACTTTTTTTGGTTTTCTTCGGAATTTTTATAAAGAACTCATAAATGTATATGTACAAAAAATTTCATTTAAAAAAAAAAGGTAAAAAAGATGTTAAGTCCGCGTCAAAAACTATATCTTCAAAATCTTACAGAATCTTAAAACATATCTGAAAATAATGTATTTAAATTATATAATGACATTAAAAACTTGCGATAACAAAAATATAAACATTAAAGACTTGCGACAAAAAAAATTAATTTAAAAACTTAGCATTGCTAATGTCATTATTGCATATTACTTCAATAAAATTTCAATTGTATAGTATAATACAACAATTACAATTGTTAAATTATTGTTTAGCTTAGCAGTGCTAAGTTTTTAAATTAAATTGTTCTACTTTCTTTCGCAAATTTTTAATGTTTTTTTTTATTTCTTCTTGTCGCAAGTTTGTAATGTTTATATCTTTTTTGTCCCAAGTTTTAATGTCAGTATGTATTTTAAATTCATTATTTTTATAAGAAATTAAAACAACTATTTTGTGCAACTTTTTAAATTAAAATATTTTAATAAGGTTTTATTTTTGCTTAGCGCAATTTTTAGATATGTTTTAAGATTCTGTAAGATTTTGGAGATATAGTTTTTGACGCGGACTTAACAACTTTTTTACCTTTTTTAAAATAAAATTTTTTCTACATATACAAAACATTTATGAGTTCTTTATAAAAATTCCGAAGAAAACCAAAAAAAGCTTGTTACACAAGATTCACTCTAAAACGATTTTTAATAATTATAAAGTGATAAAGTCAAATTGTATTTGCATTATGACAAGTAATGAACAAACTATCAATACGTTACCTTAAAGAAAATTGATAATCCTAACTCTTTGATTACTGTGGAATGTGAATGCCCAAAGCTCTTAGGTTATATTTCCTCAATTAACAATCAAATAGCTTTATCACAATAAGCGTAGACCTATAATATTTAATTACACGCTATGGTTAATAAGTCCAATATCAGAACACGCGATAAAATGTTTTATTTCCTTTATTAAATTTAATTAATTTATTATTAAGAAATAGAATTGTAATATTTTCAAGTATTCTACAAAGTAAATGATATTTTACAAAATAATAAAATTTTAATAACTTTAATTGTATATATTTGTTACACGTAACGTTTTCACCAACAGATTTAGAATATAATCATGTTAAATCATTATATTCCTTATTAATTTGATTGCATAGAAAATATTTAATTATCACGCACATGATTTTATATAATAAACAATTATCTCATCAATATGAATATGTGCAGATATAATATAATAAATATAAATATGTGAATATATTAGTCTGTTTGCAATTTTTAATTATTAAATTATATTATTTCCAAATTATATGCATAATAGATATGCAACAAAACTATTATTATTAACAATATATATTTGCAATCCAGATATTATATGAAACTATTCACACACAAGAAAAATAATATTTTGAAAAGTAATTGCTGGTGTACGATTACATTTTTGTTTAATTGGCAAACAAATATTTAATAAAATTTATTAATTTAAAAAAAGGAAAAAGAAAAATGAATCTTTTCAATATAAAAAAAATAAATATATAAATAAATACATAATAACAAAATATATACATTCTAAGCATTTAAATAATAATACAATTTTAAAACAAGACCATTTAAATAAATATTTATATACAGCGTATTCTAATTATGTTATTCAATATTTTTCAATCTTTCTCTCTAATAATTTATTTATAATAAATAAAAATTTGAATGTAATATGTAAAAACATTGTGAAATGGTTACCTAGTTGAATGCAGAAATGTTCTCCAGAAGGAAACTGTATGGTTACACTTCGTTGTATTACCAAACTTCCTGCAATATTTACATTTGATTAATAATTTTGAATTATAATATATATTGTATATATATGTACAACACATTTTATTATAACATATTATACATTTATTATTTAGAACAAATGAAAAAATTCGAGAAATATATATTAACATTAAATATAATTAAATTAATATATAAATGTATAATGAGAGAGAGAGAGAGAATTGAAAATGTTCTGAATAAAAATATGGTTTAAAAAACGTAAATTATTTATTATTTATATTGTAACTATTACGTACAATAACTTTGCTAGAACCAAGGAAAAGATATATATTATTGAAATTCAGTCATATTAATATCATCAATCAAACATCTTCGATTAAAATTTAAATTGTATTAATCGTTACACATGTTAATTAATGGAAATAAAGAAATTATATCGATTTTCTTAAGTCAATCATTAATGGAAGAGATTTGCATTAAATTTGCTATATTTAATCGTCAATTAAATATTTTTTAATTGTTTCTACTCAAATCAATTGTCAATTGAATTGTCTTCGATTGAATCTGTTTTTTTCAATCGTCAATTAAAGTACATCTAATTAAAATTAACTCATATCAATCGTTAATTAAAATCTTTTAATTAAATTAGCTTGTATTAATTGTTAATCGATCGTTCTCCGATTAATTTCGTTTATATCAATTGTCAATTAAATAATCTTTAATTGACTTCGATCATATTAATTGTTAATTAAACGATCTTCGATTAATCTAGTTTATATCAATCGTCATTGTAACGAAATCTATTTAATCTTTCTAAAATTAATCGTCAATTAAAAATATTTTAATTGAATCTGTTCATATCATTTGTTCAATTATAAAAAATTTAATTGATATTTTGTCATCTCTGATACCCAGTAAACACGAAGGGATCATTTACGAAACAATTACATAATAATCTATATATGTATATGTTATAGATCGGCGAAACAAAACAATGACGTATCATTTATGTCAATAACGTAATGAATTTGTTATGCAATTTTGGTGTTATTTTGTTATGTAACATTTATGTATTTTGGTTAATATAAATGTGTATACTCTAAAAGTTTCGTAAATACTACGTAATTTTAATGACATAATTGTAACGTTCTGTTAAATATGTAACATTAATATTATTTTGTTGATATCAATGTATATATTCTGTAAGAACCTTATTATAACTATTATATAATTATAATAACGAAATTGCGATGTCACATT